GATGAGTTCATGTCCTTTGCAGGGACATGGATGAAGCTGGAAACCATCATTCTGAGCAAACTATCACAAGGACAGAAAACCAAACACTGCATGTTTTCACTGATAGGTGGGTACTGAACAATGAGAACACTTGGACACAGGGCGGGGAATATCACACATAGGGGGCCTGTCGCGGGGTGGGGCACAGGGGGAGGGACAGCATTAGAAATACCTAATGTAAATGATGAGTTAATGGGTGCAGCAAACCAACATGGCACATGTATACCTACGTAACAAACCTGCAAGTTGTGCATATATACCTTAGAACTTAAAATATAAGAAAATAAAATAAAATAACACATCTAAAAAAAAAATAAAACAAATAAGACAAATGGTAATTTTTTGCTAAGTTGAAATTTTTCATAATATACAGTTGAAAAAAAATGCACCAATGGTGATTTCCTCAGGCACTAATTTTTTTGACACAGAGTCTCTGTTGCCCAGGCTGGAGTGCAGTGGCGCGATCTCAGCTCACTGCAAGCTTCACCTCCTGGGTTCATGCCATTCTCCTGCCTCAGCCTCCTGAGTACCTGGGACTATAGGCACCCACCATCACGCCCAGCTAATTTTTTTTATTTTTAGTAGAGACGGGGTTTCACCGTGTTAGCCAGGATGGTCTCGATCTTTTGACCCCGTGATCCGCCCACCTTGGCCTCCCAAAGTGCTGGGATTACACGCATGAGCCACTGCGCTGGGCCATCTCAGGCAGTAATTTTATGAGTGATTTTTACATTATTACTTTATACTTTTCTGTATTTTCTAAATTGGTTTTATTATTTTCATTAGGAAGGGGGAAAAAAAGGCTGCATCAACCACACAAAGGTATTAAAATTTTCTCTGTCTCTGTGCACAGACACACACACATACGCTCATTCACTGATTGCCTGGCTCAATCAGGCTCAGCCACAAGTGCCAGCATCAGCCTTTTTGTAAACAGGTATTTCCTTTTCAGGAATCAGTCCCAGGTTCCCAGAGAAAATATGGCTTTGCTAGAATCCCTGCTAGTTAACAGCAGCCACACTCACAGCTCGATGCCGTGTTCGATGATTTCTTTTTGTTGCTTGATGACCTCAAATTGCTCGGGGTCATCCTGAACAGTTGTCTGGGTCCCTGAGGACACTGTGGACTCCATGGATGTCACACTACACCGTCTCGCCATGTCAAGGCCTTTCCCATCCCCCATTTCCTGATCCATGAGCCTCTCCTGACCTGCAGAGAAAAGTAAAGAAAGCCAAATAAGCAGGTGGGGGACAGACATAGCCAAGCTAGGTCTGGCTGCATGGCTCCCTTTCCCAGACCTGTAATAGCAACAACTCTATACCATAAAGATTATAAGCATGAAACCTTAGTATCAGATACTTTACTTAAAAACTTGTTTCCTCATGGAACTTGATGAGCTAATTCTTTTTTTTTTTTTTTGAGACGGAGTCTCGCACGGTAGTCCTGGCTGGAGCGCAGTGGCGCAATCTCGGCTCACTGCAACCTCCGCCTTGCAGGTTCAAGTGATTCTCCCGCGTCAGCCTCCAGAGTAGCTGGGATTACAGGCGCCCACCACCATACCCGGCTAATTTTTTGTATTTTTAATAGAGACAGGGTTTCACTATGTTGGTCAGGCTGGTCTTCAATGCCTCATCTCGTGATCCACCACCCTCGGCCTCCCAAAGTGCTGGGGTTATAGGCATGAGCCACCACACCAGGCCTTGATGAGCTAATTCTAAAATTCACATGAAAGCGTAAAAAAGGCAAAATAACGAGCAAGACAACTTAAAGAACAATGAATAGGAGGACTTACTTGCCCTACAAGATACCAAAAACAAGTGTGGTGTTGGTGTTAAAACAGACAAACAGAACAGAATAGAAAATCTAGAAAGAAGGCCAGGCACAATGGCTCACATCTGTAATCCCAGTGCTTTGGGAGGCTAAGGTGGGAGGACTGCTTGAGCCCAGGAGTTTAAGGCTGCAGTGAGCTACAACTGCACCACTGTACTCCAGCCTGGGTAATGGAAAGAGACCCTGTCTCTTTAAAAAAATTAAAATTCCAGAAACAGACTTACATACATAGGAACATTTGGTGTATCATAAAGGTGATGCTTTGAATCAGTGAGGGAATGAGCAACTATTAAAAAGGCACTAGAGCAACTGGCTCTGCATTTGAAACAATGAAGTTACAGCATAACTTCACACAACTCCAGATGCATTAAAAAGCAGAACTTTCAAAATAATATAGGTATTTAGCAAACTAAAAAGGCTTTTTCAATTCTAAAACAATTATACTAAGACAACTGTTCCCAGCAGTCACAGGAGCCTATTATGAATGGAGGTGGGTATGGCAGCAACGCTGTCTCACCGAGGCTGGTCTGGTGGTTGGGATTCACATACAGGTCTTTGCTCCACTCCACCATGCACTTGAGAATGGACACGAGACACTCCAGGCCTTTCTTCCTCAGGCTGAGCTCCTAAGGGATGAAGTGACACAGGAAAGAGACTTAAGAGGAAAACAAAGAGAACAGACATCTATGAGGCTTCCTCGGACCCCAGTGAGGCTATGAGATAAATCACTGACAGTCAGTGCTATTAAGGATGAAACAAACCCAGAGCTAAGAAGTGACAAGTATCAAGGATACATTGCGAAAACCCTGGACATCTCTAAAGATGCTCATTATAAACACTCCAGCAGCAAAAATATGGGACATGTGTTTTCCTAAAATGAACAACGTTATTTGGATTTTCAAAAGAAGTTTTCATTCATTGCTTGTGTGATTAAAAAAAAAACTTTAAATTTTATTATTATTTTTTTAATAACAAGGTCTTGGCCAGGCGCTGTGGTTCACGCCTGTAATCCTAGCACTTTGGGAGGCTGAGGCGGGGGGATCACCTGAGGTAAGGAGTTCAAGACCAGCCTGGACAAGATGGTGAAACCCCGTCTCTACTAAAAAGACAAAAATAAGCCGGGTGTGGTGGCAGCCACCTGTAATCCCTGCCACTTGGGAGGCTGAGGCAGGAGAATCACTTGAACCTGGGAGGTGGACGTTGCAGTGAGCTGAGATCGTGCCACTGCACTCCAGCCTGGGTGACAGAGCGAGATTCTGTCTCCAAAAAAGAAAAAAAAAATCACACACAAATAACAAGGTCTTAACCAGTGACTCTGAAAAAAAGGAGAAAAGAACCTTGAATTATGCTGCAAGTGTCTCTGGATACAACGTATCCCCTAAACACCCACAAATGCATTCCATTTTAAGGCTCACCCTTTAAGTAAATAAAAATACTGATTTTCAAAAATAAATAGCATTCTTAAATAACAAGTTGAATATGAGTTGCAGATCATCTAAAAAAACTGCAAATATTTTAGATTCAAAACAGCATCTCGGACAGCACAGATCTCTGTGATTCTAATGACAACTATGACCATCTTTTAGGAAAAATGCCCATACACCAAAATTCCACACATAATTCCAGGGAGGTCGGAGACCCTCTGACCAGTTCATTCAGAAACCTAGAGTTAAGCATCCTATTTTCTTTGTAGGTGCTCTAATAAGGTATTCGGCTCCTAGCCAATCTCCTTTGCCTCTATTGCAGACTGGGATCCTGTTTTCCATGCTATCTTTGGAAGGGTGACTGAGAATGAATTTGCTTCCTATGGGTCTCAGCTCAAAGGTTACCTTCTAAGGGATACTACCCTAATGACTCCATTAAGAATTACAGCACCCCACCTCCAGCACTTCCTCTCTGCCGTCCCTGCTTTATTCTTCTCTGCAGACCTTATGATCATCTGAACTGACTTCTTTAATGTCGTTTTATGATGGCAGGAAATGTGTGAATACGTATGCCTGTTTTGTTCACTGCTATATCAAGGACAGTGCCTGGCATGTGGTGGCACTCAATAAATGTTTATTGGAATGAATAAACTTTAATATAATTGAGTGTCCACAGTGTTTTTACCTGCAGTGGTGTCATTCCCAGCTCATGTCCACTTCTTCCCTGAGCAATTTTGGATAAATCATTTACAAGGCGCTCGAAAATGTTAGCAGCATTTAAATCACAGTCGTAGTTGACATAAATATCCACAACACACTGGGCATCTTGGAAAATAACATACAAGTATCAGAAATTCTGATCAAATAGCAGTTATGTTTTCTTATCAAACAAGATGTTTGCCAACAAATTTCCCCAGTGAACTACAGGCTCCGGTGGCCGCATCTCACTCAGGAAACACATGTTGGAAGTACTAGGAAGCTGGCAGAGAGGAGGTTGTTTTCAGGCCCGCTTCTGAGCAAACTGAAATCTCAGGCGGTTCATTCCACCTGTCCAAGGCTCACTTTTCTCATCAAGGAAGGGGCTAACAATTGCCTGATCCACCTCTTAAAGTTGTGTCACTCTTACAAAAATACATTTGATGCCAGACAAGCAGGATGCTTACTTTGAGGCCACACAATTGTATAGTGTAAAGTAAATCCACATTTACCATAGCACCCAATCAAAAATTGGCAGCACCAATATCTTAGGTCCTGTGACTAACAGTATTCAGCTTGTAGGTAATGTAACCAAGTGTTCCAGTTTGACGAGATTAGGGGGTTTCTGGGACATGAGACTTAGTGCTAAAACCAGGAAGTCCTTGGCAAACCAGCCTGAGTTGGTCATCCTCTAAAAAAGGAGAGGTGGGACAGGACTAGGTTAGAATTAGCCTTTTATTTCCAATCCTTCTTTAAAACTCTAAAAGGAGGAGTTAAAAGTCTTAATCTGAGCTTTGGCAAATTAAAGCATCAAAAGTCCAGTGGATGAGTGTCCCCAGGTGAAAATACCTGCACAGATCCTCGTCAGAGTCTGAATGACCATCCACCTGTGCTCAAAAGAACTTGTTGATGTTTCTAAAATGTTCAAGAAAATTTCTTTGAAAAAGACCTATATGACATAAAGACAAAGGAGGACACTAATTAACAGTTTCAACCAGGGCTCAAAACCTCCAAAGTCTTCAGAAGCCAACCCGATCCTGCAGTAAGTAAAGCACCCTGGGCAGGAGAGTGGAGCGCCCGCCCGGCTGGGCAGCGTCAGGACCCTGGCCTTGGTGGGGACGGCTGGCAGGGTAGGGGCCATCGGGGAGCTGCCAAGTGGAAATGCAGGACCCATGTTGTGACTTTTTGGAGAGAAACCAGAAATCTGGATTTTCATGTAAAATAGGATTTCTCAATTTGGCAACTAATCTAAATGATTTCAAACAATTTACAGACCAAACAGACATGTTTAGGGGGCGAGCCCAGCATATAGCCCATATCCTTTGGTTAAAATGAAAGGCACATAAGATCTGGGGGCAGTAACTTTTTTTTTTTTTTTTTGAGACGAAGTCTCGCTCTGTCGCCCAGGCTGGAGTGCAGTGGCGCGATCTCGGCTCACTGCAAGCTCCGCCTCCCGGGTTCATGCCATTCTCCTGCCTCAGCCTCCCGAGTAGCTGGGACTACAGGCGCCCGCCACCTCGCCCGGCTAATTTTTTTGTATTTTTAGTAAAAACAGGGTTTCACCATGTTAGCCAGGATGATCTCGATCTGACCTCGTGATCCGCCCGCCTCAGCCTCCCAAAGTGCTGGGATTACAGGCATGAGCCACTGCGCCCAGCCTGAGGGCAGTAACTTTTTATAAAAAGATACTCTCTTACTCATTTAAAAAGTTCTGATTTACTGGGGTGCCAGCTGATGAGTATGCCATTTACCCTCCCTGCCCCTGCCCACTCCTGAGTTCCAGATGGTAAGATATGAAACATTTTCATGAACCATTTTCCTAATGCTTAGTGTATAATATTAGCATTCTCAACATTGAGTATTATTATTAATAATAGTAAACAATCAAATGAAAAAACTTTGGAGTCCATACCTCTATCTGCATTTTCAAGTGCATTTTAAAGTTTGAAAGAAGAGTAAGAAAAATGGCAAGAGACAGCTCAAAGACATCAGGCACTGAAGAGACGCCGTTTTTGGACAAGGCCACACAGAGATATTGCTTGATTGCATTGATGAACATCTCGTGAGTCCTAAATACGGGGCCAGCATTTTGTAACACAGAGAGGAGCAGCTGCAGGGAAACCACCTTGGAACGCAGCTCATGGGATCTGGCAAAGAAAATGAAAAACCGTAACAGTGCTAAAAGAAAAAATGTCAAACAGTATGTTTCTTGAGAAGGCCTTGCTCCTCTACCAATGAGCAGAAGTTTAAAGAATTAATAGCACCTAAATGTCAGGAGAATCAGGGCAGATGGCATGAGGTGGGTCCTTCTGGAATTGCAGGCCCTTTGAGAACAAGAGCTGCCAATTCCTTTTTGTCCCTCTCCATCACGAAGTAGAGAATACAGCAGGAGCAAAGTGTCAACTGATTCTGGAGAGCAGGTTCTACAATTGCACTGAGAGAATCAATGACTTTACATCACCTGTGGGAGGCTGAGACACCTGGCTCACCCTATCTTCACACACCATGAAGACGGTGCTCTTTATCCACCTACCTCACAGCCCTCCCTCACCGCTGCCCATCCCTGAGTTCAGGTATGGTAAGAAATGGTACATTTTCATGAACTATTTTCTTAACACTTATTTTTATTTTTTAAAATTTACTGTTGCTGTGTTGCCCAGGTTAGAGTTCAGTGACACGATCTCGGCTCACTGCAACCTCTGCCTCCTGGGTTCAAGCGATTCTCTTGCCTCAGCCTCCTGAGTGGCTGGGATTACAGGTGCGTACCAGCACACCCAGCTAATTTTTGTATTTTTAGTAGAGATGGGGTTTTGTCTTGTTGGCCAGGCTGGTTTCAAACTCCTGGCCTCAAGTGATCCACCCACCTCGGCCTCCCAGAGTGTTGGGATTATAGGCGTGAGCCACCACACCTGGCCTATTTTCCTAATACCTATCATAGTATTAGCAGCATTCACAATAGATGAATTGAAGATTATTAATGACTAATGACAGGAACGACAGTGACAATTTATAAAGCACAAGGCCCCATGCTCAGGACAACACCGATATTTCATTTAATCAATCCTGTAAGATGATTTTCCATATTCCCATTTTTCAGATGAGGCTTGGTAAGTCATATAACCAAGGAACTGCTCTCAGGTGGAGGAGCCAAGATCTAAATGCAGCTCTTTCTGGCTCTGAAGCCTCTGCTTTCTTCACTCCACAGCACTGACATCCTTGTAGTAGTTTGTTTACTACAAAGAAATGTTTGGCTTCCCTGTGTCCCAATCTGGGGCTTAGATCTGTATCGATGAAGCAGAGGTTTCCAAACACAACAGGGAACTGAGGTTTGCAGGTATCCTGTCCCTCCCCCACCCCACATCAGGAGATTCAATCCACTAGCTAGTAAAAATGTGCTTTTTATGTGTTCAACAAACAGACTGTTTTTAGCATTCATATGCCAAGAAAAGCAAAACTGAGCAAAATCTTGGTTGGTGGGGATACAGAGACAATTCAATATGAAAGGACTATAGAGACTGCATGAGTCTCAAAGTTGTAAAACCATTCCTGCACTTACACTGACAAAGAGACACAACACTGAAACTTCTTGGAACAAGGGGAGTGTGAAACACAGTACCACGTGCTGCTGGATCATTGAATTGAAGATGGCCAAGAACTGCTGTCTGCTTACTTTGGGTCTGGAGGGCCTTCACCAAGGGGCTTCATGGACAGCTTGCACAGGGAGCGGAACACAAGGAAGGCATCCTTCTGCAGAACGTGGGAGAACCTGGCAGCCACTTGATGTCCTTGTGCATCCGATTCCTAGGATTAGAAACAAACATTAGCAGGGTGTGGTGACGCGCACCTGTAGTCCTAGTTCCTCCGGAGGCTGAGGCAGGAGGATCCATTGAGCCCGAGAGGTCAAGGCTGCAGTAAGCCATGATGGCACTGCTGCGCTCCACTCTGGGGAACATAGTAAGACCGTATCTCAAAAACTAAAAAGGGAGAGGACAAAAGTATAACTCTTATCAAAAATAAGAAATGTAATTATCTCATGGAAATTAAAATTCTTCTATTTAATAGGGAGACGAGGGATGTGGGGGAGGGGAGGATATGACAAAATAGGAGCTATGGAGGAGCCATCACAGCAATTCTACAACCTTGTTCCTTGTTCTTCAGAGTTGGTATGGGTGGTTTAAAATCAAACATGATCAAAAGTTAAGCTGTAAAAAAACCAAAACTAATACAGGTAATTACATTAGCTTGGGTAAGAAAGGTAGTTCTAAGAACACTATTGTAAGCCAGGGGCAATGGCTCACGCCTGTAATCCCAATACTTTGGGAGGCCAAGGCAGGCAGATCACTTGAAGTCAGGAGTTCCACACCAACTTGGCCAACATGGTGAAACCTCGTCTCTACTAATCCCAGCTTCTTGGGAGGCTAAGACAGGAGAATCGCTTGAACCTGGGAGGTAAACGTTGCAATGAGCCGAGATCGCGGCACTGCACTCCAGCCTGGGTGACCAAAAAATAATAATAATAATAATAATAAAAAAAAGAATACTGTTGCAGCTATTGCAGGATAAATGGGTAACAAAGGATAGGTATTACAAAATAAACTTTTTTCACCTAAAAAAAGGTAAATTACATTTAAAAACAAAACATAAAAATAAAATTTTTTGGCCAGACACGGTGGCTCACGCCTGTAATCCCAGCACTTTGGAATGCTTAGGTGGGCAGATCACAAGGTTGGGAGATCGAGACCATCCTGGCTAAGATGGTGAAACCTCTTCTCTACTAAAAATACAAAAAATTAGCTGAGAGTGGTGGTGGGCGCCTATAGTGCCAGCTACTCAGGAGGCCGAGGCAGGAGAATGGCGTGAACCTAGGAGGCAGAGCTTGCAGTGAGCCGAGATTGCGCCACTGTACTCTAGCCTGGGCAACAGAGCGAGACTGCATCTCAAAAAAAAAAATAAAAATTTTTTAACATGTAATAAAGATTAATATCCCCCACATATAAAAGTTCTTATAATTCTTATAATTCATTAAGGAAATATGAAAACCTTCCTCCCATATGAAAAAAATGGATAAGCAATGTACCAATAAATGCAAATAATAAAGAAACATAAATGGCCGGGCGCGGTGGCTCACGCCTGTAATCCCAGCACTTTGAGAGGCGGAGGCGGGTGGATCACGAGGTCAGGAGATCGAGACCATCCTGGCTAACACGGTGAAACCCCGTCTCTACTAAAAACACAAAAAATTAGCCGGGTATGGTGGCGGGCGCCTGTAGTCCCAGCTACTTGGGAGGCTGAGGCAGGAGAATGGCGTGAACCCGGGAGGCAGAGCTTGCAGTGAGCTGAGATCCGGCCACTGCACTCCAGCCTGGGTGACACAGCGAGACTCCTTCTCAAAAAAAAAAAAGAAACATAAATGACCTTATTACTCATCATTAGGGTAGGAGCTTTCTCCTATCAGACGAGCAAAGATGTGAATAAAGGCTGCTGCCTAGTTTTAATGAGAGAATGGGAAAATGGGTATTGAGAGATTAAAGGTGGACAGGGATTCAAGCAGTACCTTTCCAGAAGACTGACTTGGTGTTAAGGATCAAAAGCCTTAAAACTTCCAACTCCCACTCTCTTTCATTCATTTACTTATGAGACATGATCTCACTACATTTATTTATTTATTTATGAGATGGGGTCTCACTATGTTCCCCTGGCTGGATTTCTGGGCTCAAGCGATCCTCCAGCCTCAGCCTCCTGAGTAGCTGGGAATACAGAAGCATGCTATTACACTCAGCTAAAACTTCCAACTCTTGAACCATCAATACTACTCGCAGGAATTTATTCCTAAGAAGGAATTAAGAGTTATCTATAAGGATATTCATTATAGAAGCATTTCCTATGATAAAACTGGAATAATCTAAAAACCCAATAGGGAATTGGTTAATACAGTGATCCATACAGAATTTCACATGGCCATTAAAAATTTGTGTTAGCGCTACATACACTGATAGGGGAAGATGCCCACCATATAGTGTTTAGTAAACAAAGCAAACTGCCGCTTATTATATAACATGAGTCCCTGGTATAGATTTAAGTGCGTCCTCAAGGGGGTTAAAAAAAAGAAAACAAAAACAAACAAAAAAACCACCTTATTCTGGTCGGATGCAGTGGTTCATGCCTGTAAACCCAGCACTTTGGGAAGCTGAGGTGAGCAGATTGCTTGAGCCCAGTTCAAGATCACCCTGGGCAACATAGTGAGACCCTGTCTCTACAAATAATAATAAAAAATTAGCCAGGTATGGTGGTGCATGCCTGTAGCCCCAGATACTCAGGGGGCTGAGGCGGCAGGATCATTTGAGCCCAGGAAGTGAAGGCTGCAGTGAGTCGAGACCACACCACTGCACTCCAGCCTAGGTGAGAATGAGATTCTGTCTCAAATAAACAACAACAAATCCTTATTCTTTTTATGTATAAAGCATAGATATACATGTAGCATATGGATATCCAGTTTACTGGTGGCATTACAACTTAATGGGGGATGATGATTAGGAAAAAATGTCTACAAAGTTTTCTTGGAGGAAGGAGCAATAATGAAAAAGGTTGAGAAACACTGGTAAAAAGACAAAGAAAGTGGGGTCTTGAGGGACAGTCACATTGTATTACTTCCTATTTTGAATGCTTATATTTAATTTTAAAGCAATTTTTAAGAGAATAAGGCTACTAAAAAGAATAATGTGGCGGACATATTTATGGGCCTGAGAGAATGTTCATAATATAAATTGTTTAAAAAGCAGGTTGCAACACAGGATACACACTGTATTATTCTATTTAAGTGGAAAAATATGTGAGATGGAGGAGAAAAATCTAGAAGGATATAGGTAAGATGTTAACAAGGGCAATCTATGGGTTATGGATGGCTTTCCTATACATACTGACTTTCCAACACAGAGAAGGAAAGACAGGTAACTATACATTTTATTTTCCTATAATGAATGTATACTATTTTGAGAGAGAAGAAAAATAGCAAGAAATTTAAGTGTTAAAAGTCTGAGGAAACAGGGTTTAATAATGATGTTATATACCAAGCAACATTAGCACATTCTAAGAACTGAACCTGCTAATACAAAGAATATTGGCCCAGAACTGTGTGACTAATAAATGAATAGGGCTTGCTTATTTTAGTTGCTTCTTTTGAGGAAAGATTTTATTCTGCATTTTTTGAAAAAGTAAAAATGGCAATGAATCCAGAGGATGATCACTAACATACCAGATTATCTGCTGATGACAAGGACTGCCGGTCATCGGCTATTCCATTGGTCTGTGAGTTTTCATCAACTCCTGGGGGAATAGCACATTCCTGACACTCCAGTTCACCTAGAACTCTCTCAGGTTCTGTCAGACCATGCTTTTCCGCTGCTTCTTAAAACACAAATACAAAGTCATAGCCAAATTAGTACTGTACTTACCCTAAAAGGCTGCTTGACACCAAAAAGAAGTTATTCGTGAGCCTCCCAGCTGTTGCTTTTTCCCCTTTTCCTGTGCCACCAGCCCATGACTGACACAATCCTGGAAAAGCCTTGGCCAAAGTGATGCTTAAGCTTTATGAGTGTTTGTTATCCGCAGCCCCACTGCCAGGGCCACAGCAATATACAATTCTCTCCAGATCAATGGTGCCTCCAGAATTGTGTAATGCAGCAGCCCTGCCCACCCCCATTCACTTTTGAAAAAGATTAGAAGCAGCTAAACATGAAAGGTACAGATTTTTTAAACGTACCATTAATAAAGGAATTAGAGAAGAGTCAGTTATGACAGAAAACCTTAGTCACAGAGAAAAAATGTAAACCTAAGCTTCTTGGCAGCCATGTGAAAAAAGGGAAATAATTAAAATAAAGAATTAAATATATTTCATCATTTAATGAAGGAAAGCATATCTGATGATCAGCAGAGCAATGAAACTCTAAGAAAACTTTATAATGTGGTTCTTTATATATACATAAGGGATATGAAACAATGAGAACAATTTCCAATAACAGCTTTACAAAGCATATTTCATTCAGTAAGTATTTATCAAGTGCCTATTATGTGCTGGCTCTGCAGTAGTGGCTAGAGGACACAAAGTAAACGAGACAAACATCCATTACCTGAAGACTTCTTGTATAGACCCCAGAAACAAATCTAAAGGTATGAAATAAAGTTTTTCTATTTTACAGGCATTTCTATAAGAAGTTAAATAAATAATAGAATATGTATATAGCTTTGTGATACCTTAACAAAAAGATAGGGCTTAGAAAAGTGGCTTTCAAATCTTGACCTCTGTAAGAAATTAATTTAAAAAATTGTATCCCAGTATAGACACGTGCACATAAATAACTGAAACACATTTCATGAAACAATACTTAACATTATATGTGATACAGTCAGATCATTTGTACTCTGTTTCATTTTACTCTCTTTCGTTTAAAAAAAAAAGCTGATTAAAACCCACTAAGATTTTGATTTCTAGAAATATTAATGGTTTATTGGCATTGGAACAAAATGTTCAGCATACACCCACTGACCTGAGATTCTGGGCAGGAACCATACCATGAGGCAGTTATGAATGAAGCCTAACAAAATAAAGCTTCCCTGTACACCTGATACCTGCTGACAAGTGGAGTGTCCCCTTGACACATCAATGGCTGGCCATGAAAACTCAGCTCCAATGGACGTGGATCTCAGGGCTCCAGCCCACTTCTAGAAAGACCTGGACATCCCCTAATCTACAAGGCATATGGAATGGCCCTCTGCATCTCCATGTGGAGCATCTAAGCCTAACACAGTCAGACAATGTTTCTTTTTTTTGAGATGGAGTCTTGCTCTGCCACCCAGGCTGAAGTGCAGCGGCGTGATCTCGGCTCACTGCAACCTCTACCTTCCAGGTTCAAGCAATTCTGCCGCCTCAGCCTCCCAAAAAGCTGGGACTACAGGCGCGCGTCACCATGCCCGGCTACTTTTTGTATTTTTAGTAGAGATGGGATTTCACCATATTGGCCAGGCTGGTCTCGAATTCCTGACCTTGTGATCCGCCCGCCTTGGCCTCCCAAAGTGCTGGGATTACAGGCGTGAGCCACCGCGCCCGGCCCAGACTATGTTTCTTAAACCCAATCCAAATGAGACTAAAATCAGTCAGTAAAAACAAGTCATTTTTGAATCCCATATAAAAAACGGGCAGATGTGGGAAGATTCAGTTTCCATGAGCTCCATGAGTTCTTAGGGCAGGGAAGAGGAAACTCCACCACTAAAACATTTTGCTGAGGACTTTTTGGAGGAATGAGGGAAGAGGAAAGGCTGGGTCGTCCTTGGTTCTTACCTTTAATGGCAGATGTGACTACATCTTCCAAGATGTCCTTCACCACCTCCTGGGCTCCGTCATCAGTCCCTACACACACATCCAAATATACAAAACACACATGGGCATTTCCAGGAAAAAACAAAGGAAGAAGGGGAGATTACGGGGAGTTACATTTCAGAAGGCAAAGGGTGCAAATAAGTTCTCCCCAAGGCCAAATCTGATTGTGCCAATGAAGGATAACTTCCTTGAAATCGGGAAACTTAGGCAGCATCTGTTCTGCTTTTGAGGTTCCCTTTGTGGAACACTAAAACTCCACTGGCTTGTATTACTTTCTTCCTTCCTGAGTCCCAGTGGCTCGGCCCAGGGCCCTCCCCAACACCCCCAACTTGGAGGCAAGAGCCCGATTTTATCCAGCTAGGGTTCCTGGCAGAACAAATGGAGCTTTCTCTTGTGCCTTAGCCTCAGGGACCAACGAGCCTTGGTAAACGACATGCCTTCTGCTGCTCTGCCTTCCCACACTGTAAACCCAGAATCTCGCATGAGATTTCCAATGTGATAGTTAAGGATTTATTCAACTTTTATGAAATGATTCTGTAATATGTTAACCGTTTAAGTAGAAGAGGTTCGGTATCTCTTTTTTTTTTTTTCTTCAGAAAACTAGTTCTAGGAAAGAGTTTATATAAACAGCTCTTGACTAGATGTTTAGAAGTAAACATTTTTTTTTTTTTTTTTTTTTTTTGAGACAGAGTTTTGCTCTCTTGTCCAGGCTGGAGTGCAATGGCACCATCCCAGCTTACTGCAACCTCCGCCTCCTTGGCTCAAGCAATCCTCCCACCTCACCATGCCCGGCTAATTTTGTAGTTCTAGTAGAGACAAGGTTTCTCTATGTTGCCTAGGCTGGTCTTGAACTCCTGAGTTCAACTGATCCACCCACCTTGGCCTCCCAAAGTGCTGCGATTACAAGCATGAGACATTGCACCTGGCCGAATGTTACTCATTTATAAAACATCACGTTGACCAAAAAAACCATCACCTTAAAAAAGCAAAACCAAAATAATCCTTTGACTGTGTATTAATGAGAATTTTTAATCCAGCCACCATTTTTATGAGTTCTATGCTTGATCTACAAGGTCCTGGAGGGCAGTGCTAAGTATTTTCATTTCCATTGGGCACTTAACACCCTGGAACTATCTACGTGGCAAAGTAAATTCGTGTGGGAAATACTGATGTTATAAGCTTTTCCTAGAAGGCAAAGGGAACTTGAAGTTAGAAAACCCCAGAAACAGTCACAATCTGCTAAACTCACTTCTTATCTAAAAAGGATGATTTAGACTAGATCACTGTTACTCAAACTTTAGTCATTCTCAAACCACCTTCATAACTTTTGCCACATTCATGCACCACCATAATATTATATATTATTATGTATTTTAAATATACTGTTATGCGCCACATAACAACATCTGGTCAATGAGGAATCACATATACAATAGTGGTCCCGGAAGACTACCAGTGGAGCTGAAAAATTCCTATCGCCTAGTGACATCATAGCCGTTGTTATGTCGCAGCACAACTTATTACTTATATTTGTGGTGATGCTGGTGTGAACAAACTTGTGCTACCAGTCATATAAAAGAAGAGTACATGCAATTCTGTATCATACATAATAATTGGTAATAAACCAGTGTGTTATTAGTTTATGTATTTACTATAATATACTTCTTTTTTTTTTTTTTTTTTTTGAGAGACAGAGTCGCAATCTGTTGCCCAGGCTGGAGTGCAGTGACACGATCTTGGCTCACTGCAACCTCCGCCTCCCAGGTTCAAGCGATTCTCTTGCCTCAGCCTCCCGAGTAACTGGGATTACAGGCCTGTGCCACCACGCCCGACTAATTTTGGTACTTTTAGTAGAGACGGAGTTTTGCCATGTTGGCCAGGCTGGCCTCGAACTCCTGACCTCAACTGATCTGCCTGCCTCAGCCTCCCAAAGTGTTGGGATTACAGGCGTGAGCCACCGTGCTCAGCCTATACTATACTCTTTATTGTCATTGCCTTCTACTTATTTAAAAAAGAAAAAGTTAACTGTAAAAAAGTCTCAGGCAGGTTCAGGAAGCATTCCAGGAGCAAGTATTGTTATTATAGGAGATACCAACTCCATGTATGTTACAGCCGCTGAAGACCTTCCGGGGACAAGATGTGGAGGTGGAAGACAGTGATATGAATAATCCTGACCATGTGTAGGCCTAGGCTAATCTGTGTGTTTTGTGGCTTAGTTTTTAACAAAAATATTTTAAAAGTTTTAAAAACCTAAAAATTTAAGAAATAGAAAAAAAAGTTTATAGAATAAGAATATAAAGAAAAAATATTTTTGTGTATCTGTGCCATGTGTTTGTTTTAAACTAGATGCTATTACAAGAGCCAAAAGTTAAAAAAAAAAGTTTATGAAGTAAAAATGTTACAGCAGGCTAAAATTAATTTATTATTGAATAAAGAAAATTATTATTACTATTTTTTGAGATGGAGTCTCGCTCTGTCGCCAGGCTTGATGCAGTGGCACAATCTCTGCTCTCTGCAACCTCCGCCTCCCAGGTTCAAGCGATTCTCCTGCCTCAGCCTCCTGAGTAGCTGGGACTACAGGTGTGCGCCACCACACCCAGCTAATTTTTGTATTTTTAGTAGAGACGGGGTTTTACCATGTTGGCCAGGATGGTCTCAATCTCGACCTCGTGATCCAACTGCCTTGGCCTCCCAAAACGCTGGGATTACAGGCGTGAGCTACCGCGTCTGGCCAGAAAATTAATTTTATAGGCTGGGCACAGTGGCTCATGCCTATAATCCAGCACTTCAGGAGGCCAAGGCGGGTGGATCACCTGAGGTCAGGAGTTCGAGACCAGCCTGGTCAACAACAGAAACCCAGTCTCTACCAAAAATACAAAAATTAGCCAGGCGTGGTAGCAGACACCTGTAATCCCAGCTACTCGGGAGGCTGAGGCAGGAGAATCACTTGAACCTGGGAGGTGGAGATTGCAGTGAGCAGAGATCGTGCCACTGCACTCCAGCCTGGAGGACAAGAGCAAAACTCCGTCTCCAAAAAAAAAAAAAAAAGAAAGAAAGAAAATTATTTTTATAAATTTAGGGTAGCCTAAGTGTTTATGAAGCCTGCAGTGGGATATGGTCATGTCCCAGGCCTTCACATTCACTCACTGCTCACTCACTGACTCACTCAGAGTAACTTCCAGTCCTTCATGCTCCATCCATGGTAAGTGCCCCATACGGGTATATCAGTTTTTATCTTTTATACCGCATTTTGACTGCACCTTATCAACTCCTTACCACTGTGTTACCAATGCATATAGTATTCAACACGGTAACATGGCGTACAGGTTTATAGCCTAGAGGTGAAACTGCCTATGACCTATTTCTCAGAACATAACCCTGTTGTTAAGCAATGCATGACGGCAAGTATTTACTAGTGCTCTTTAAGTTAACTCACCTTAAGCAATAAAATTCACAAAATAACAGTTTTCATATGTTAGTTACATTTTCTGAATGCATATTAAAATAAATGACCTTTAAAATATAAAACGTTCTGGTGGGGCATGGCAGCTCATGCCTGTAATTCCAGCACTTTGGGAGGCTGAGGTGGGGAGGATCACTTGAGCTCAGGAGTTTGAGACTAGCTTGGACAACACAGCAAAACCCCATTTCTACAAAAAGTAAAAAAATTAGCAGGGCGTGGTGGCACACACCTGCAGTCCCGGCTCCTCGGGAGGCTGAGACAGGAGGATCACCTGAGCCTGAGAGGCAGAGGTTGCAGTGATTTGAGATTGCACCACTGCACTCCAGCCTGCGTGACAGAGTGAGACCCTGTCGGAAGGATGGAAGGAAGGAAGGGAGGGAGGGAGGGAGGGAGGGAGGAAGGAGTAAGGGAGGGAGGGGGTTCACTTACACAACATCTCACCTCTTGTAATTTGGTAAACATGACTAGATATTTCTAAGTTCCTTTTCCAGTCCCAACCTTCTCTGATGCTATGATATTAATAAAAGTATGGTGACAGTTTCCAATCTGTATCATACATTCCAAAGTACACAGCAACTCATTTACATTCAACACCCAAGAAATATCAATTCATCTTATCAGAGAAGCTACAGGCTCAGTGAGTTAGACCAGAGGCTATAAAGTGGTGACTGGTAAGTACCTCTGCCTGTACATATGTATTGCTTAGCCTATCTGCTGCTTTTCAAAACTTGAATTAGCTGCCAACGTTTAAAAACCACGAGACTACTCACAAAAACCAGAAAGGGCTTCTATTTAAAAAACCCAACTCTGTGGCAACACTGGGCCACAACTGGCTGGAACCAGGTGAGGCTGCCCTCTTCAGCCAGGGCACGAACTCAGCTGATACCTTGTTGCCTCAGTCCTCACCACTCCCAATCAACTCCCTTCCCCTGGGGCCAAATGCGAGGCACCATCACACTTGGACCAGTGTTGTTACTATACAGTAAGCAGGAAAGTAACATGTCTGTCAAGAGCAAATAGGAGGCTGACTGGGCAGGGTGTTTTAAGAACATCAGAGAAAAAATGTTCCCTTGTAGAAGTGAACTCAGCATGGAGCCTGCATGTCTGATCCAGGTCCCTGCTCTGCCACTTCCCACTGTGGGGACTTAAGTTACTTAACCTCCCAAAGCCTCAGTTTCCTTACCAGTAAACAAAGCCCTGTGAGAATGATACACACAAAGCATTTAAAACAGTGCCTGAAAAAAGTGAGCTCTCAAATGCTACTTTTTATTAGGCCTGTGTGTTTATATGTAGGTGCTTGTCCTCATGATAGAAGCCTGCTCATTTCTGTCACCTGCCTGGCCCTGCAGACCAAATCCATAATGAAAATTTCCAACGAATCACACTGCAAGTAGTTTCAGTTAGTTAAAACCTTCACTATCTTTCATTCCTAAGGAGAAAAACAAAATTCCACGTCAGCACGGATCTCCTCTTTCCCTCATGGCAGTTTTTCCATTTAAAGAGCATCAAGAGCAACATTTTTTGGAGGGATAGAGTATATAACTCATATTCCTTAATAGGCAGGATCCATAATAGTACTTACGCAAAATCAAAACATTCTCAGGCCAGGAAGGGCTAAGGAGAGTCAGAGAGCCCGAACACTGGCAGAAGGTTCCTGAAGAGGGAGCTGCTAAGGAAAAACCCCAATAGAAGCTCCAAAGCAGAAGACTCCACCCAGGAACCGTGGGCTGCTTCCCTTGCTGACCTGACAGCCCTGGATAGGTCTCAGAAGAGTCTTTTCTGGATGTTGTGATAACTACTACTAAGTCCGTTGTATCTAAGTTTCAAGCATGCTGTGAAAGTGTTCGATAAGCAAATCAAATCAAATCTTTGAAAGGTACAAAGAATCTACTCAAAAAACACAGGTTCTGCTGGTTCCCTGGGATGTCACCACCATTACTGATTAGGCACCAGACCCTACCTGTTTCAGACTCCATCCTGAAGCAAAATAAGAGAGCCACCTTGACTAGGTTCACACAGGAGAAACCTTGCTGCCATTCCCTCTCTAGCCAGCTGGAGAACACTCTCTGGTAGGCACTGCCAGTTCCCTAACTCATATCCTTCCTAACAGATCCTGAATTTTGTTTTGAGAGGGAATGTGCCTACATTTCTCAGCCTTTCTTGCAGAAAGGGTGATCATGTGATGAAGTTATAGCCAATGAGGGGTAAGCGTAAGTTATCAGGGGTGGCAACAAGTTCCAGAAGACTCCTCTCTAGAGGCGTGACTCAGCTGGCAGAGTTCTTTAGTCCTACTTCTTCCTTTTTCTTCCTACCTGGAACAAAACGACAGGATCCTGAGCCATAGATGACCCTAAGGATAGAAGTCACATGCTAAGAATAATGAGGAAAAAATGGGAGGAGTCTGAGTTCTCTCTCCAGTTAAATAGGGAGCATGAGGGATGGTGAGGCGGTAAGATTCATTCAGTCAACAAACTGAGTGTCTATGTGTCCCGCACAGTTCCAGGCATTTGGAACATATCGCCGTCTAAAACAAAGATCCTGGTTGGGCGCGGTGGCTCATGCCTGTAAACCCATCACTTTGGGAGGCCGAGATGGGTGGATCACCTGAGGTCAGGAGTTCGAGACCAGCCTGGCCAACATGGTGAAACTCTGTTTCTACTAAAAAATACAAAGTTAGCCAGATGTGGTGGTGTGAGCCTGTGGTCCCAACTACTCAGGAGGCTGAGGCAGGGGAATCGCTTGAACCTGGGAGGCGGAAGTTGCAGTAAGCCGAGATCTCACCACTGCACTACAGCCTGGGCAAGAGAGCGAGACTCAGTCTCAAAAAAAAAAAAAAAAAAAAATGCAAAAGGTGAGTTAAGAAATCCACAAACACATAGGTAATTCTACATAGTATCTGTAAAAATGTACACACACTGATGTCTGATGTTGGGAGTTAAAAGTCTGAATCCTAAAAACAAACTTTAACTCCTGGCCTCAAGTAATCTGCCTGCCTTGGCCTTACAAAGTGCTGGGATTGGAGGCATGAGCCACCACAGATGTTCAGGTCTACTGGTGAATTATCTTCACCTACACAAATAACATGGGAGGCAAATTACCCCAGGAAGGCTGTGGAGGGGTTCCCAGTTAATTAAACTGGAAAACATTATGTTGAATGCCGAGTCAGCAGTACAGTGAGTGTCCATTACAGTTAGCTATGTGACGGTGATTACTACAGGACAGTCTGTGGGAGAGCCCCATGGTTGTGTCCAACATCCGCACACTTTAGTAATATGTAAAAATAATAGCCACAGAGGCACTAGAGCTCAGGCCTTTTCACTGGTACTTGAGGCCTGGACTCCAGTCCTGGGTACTTGTCTCTCTTGTCTGCCTTGTTCAACTCCCTCTTCTGAAGGACCTGTTCTTTCTTTAGAGCCCAGTCCTGAGAACTGGAAGTCATTTGCTCCTTTAAGATTGACTGACTGATTTAGAGATAGGGTGTTTATTTATTGAGAGACAGGGTCTTGCTTTTTTGCCCAGGCTGGAGCACAGAAGGCTATTCACAGACACACTGCAGCCTCAAACTCCTGACCTCAAGTGATCCTCTTGCCTCAACCTCCCAAGTAACTGGGAATACAGGTGTGTGACATGGCGCCCAGTTCACTTGCTCTTTTTAAAGGTTATAGCACACCTCCATTCTGACCCACTATTTGCAGGTCTGGGGTTTGCTTCTCCCAGGCAATCTGATTCCCATGTTCCTGTAAAAATCTCATAGGATGCACCAAGTATTGGCCACAAAATCCACAGCAACATGCTAACTGTAAATTATTTTCTCTTTGTTAGAACAGAACTTCTAGTTACTGTGTTTCTGCAAAACTGTATTCTAGCAATAACATTTTCTCCCCATTCATTCAAAAAATGTATTTGCTCAATGTCTGCTGCGTGTGCCAGGCACCATTCTAGGTGTTGGGAATATAGTGGTGAGCAGGACAGCCTAGGTTTCAGTCCAGGAACAAGTGAACAGAACCCTTCAGTAATTTTAGGTATTGTAAGTACTATGGAAAAAATAAAAGATAATGGGACAGATATGACGAGGAGCTACAGAAGTTGATCAGGGAAGCCTCTCTCAGTCTGAACTGAGAGACCTGAAGATACAGGGGGTTCAGAGGCAGGGAAGGGACAGTAAGTGCAATGGCACTCAGGCAGAAACAAGCACAGCCTTTCAATAACCAGAAAGGGCACCTGTGAATTGTGTAGCAAAAAAGAGAAAGAGAGGTATAAGCTACGAGGACAGGGCATAGATTTCAGTCTGAATGGCACAGGATGGGGAATTATCAAAGGAGTTTGAGCAGGGGTCATGTTCTAATTCATGCTTTTAAGAGATCACTTTGGCTGCTGTACAGAAAATGGGCTAAAGTGGAAGCACTTTTATGCAGCTCATAGAGACTTGGTTTTATATCTGCACAGCTATGCTTATTACAGTGCATTTAAATATTAACATTTATTGACTGATTACACCTTAATAAGGGTTACAGTAAAAACCTGGTCCTTTTCCTAGAGAGTTACAAAGGCAAAGATGACGACAGACACAGAGGGTGGGCCAGGGGATGCTGAGCACCTTCCTTAGGACTCTCGACAGCAGGAGTAAGTAGATGGCAACTCCGCGCTCACCCTGAGACAAACACCATTCTTGGTGGCAATTTTTTCTTTTGTGCTTTCCTTGAGTAAACGAATACCGAACAACATTCCAGCAACAACACTTGGTCTGTTCTCATGTACATCGAGCAGTCTGTTAAATTATAAAGGAACAAAACCTGCTCAAATATGTGCACCCCAGTAGGGAACACACTACCAACAGAAATCATTATCAGCAATGTGGCTGAAGAAGAAATTAGATCAGTTATGAAGACAGGTCAGATATTTTGTATAGAACAACCTGCTTGAGTGAAGAAGCATTTGACAGAATCACTTGGGAAAGGAAATTCCTGAAAAAATACCAATTTTGGATCTGGTTCCTACAAACTGCCCAGAGAGAGATATGAACAGTTAGACGTATCATAATAACTCAATCTAGTATTTCATTTACTTTGAGAATATAATCAGGTGTCGGTTAGCCTCTCACTTAAAAACCCAACAAAAACAAGTGATGTACATGGTCACCAGAAGAAGAAAACAAAGCTATCTGAGCATGTCTATCCATCCATCCACCTGCTACCTTCTGGCTCCTTCCACGGATATCTATGAGTGACACTTGGCAAGGCACGGAGATCCAGTGTAGACATCAGAATCAAAGCCCTTGTCCTCCTGTGGACACTGAGTAACTAATCACCCAATCAATTAACTACTGAAAGGTAAGTGTCCCAACCTGAACCTGCTGCACTGAGGCTGAAATGAAGAAGTAGCAGCTAGATACATCCCAGTACTAGTTAGAGAAAACAGCACAGCTGACAATGGGACACTCAACATCATGCCTCGCTGGTTGTGTTCCCTAAGAGAAAAGCAAAGGGAAAGACCCAGAAAGAGACAAGCTGTTATCAGAGGTTTCCTGCAGATGTTATGACATATGCTTCCCCCGCCCCTCACACAGGCTGATTCCCTCTCACACTTGGAAAAAGAGCCATACCGTATCAGCCCGTACCTGACAGTGATGAGCCTCTTTCTCTGGGCGCATCTCCATTTTCTGTGCTTACTTTTCCAGAATCACTCCTGGCATGTTCACCGTTGGTTAAATCTGTTTTTTCGGGAGTTGTTGGTTTGCTTTGTGCCTGACTGTGCTTCAAACGAACGAACTTTGGGGATACTGCTGCAGCTTGGATCACAGGGGACTGGGGTTTTGACTGGATTGGTTTTTCCAGTTCTCTGGCCTCCTGCAACTAAAAGGCAACAAAAGAGGGATACAATCTAAATAGTCTCAGCATTTTGGTAAGGAAGAAAGATTATGCCAGTCTATTACTTAAAAAATTTCCTGGGCTGGGCGCGGTGGTTAACGCCTATAATTTCAGCACTTTGGAAGGCTGAGGCAGCAGGAATTCTTGAGCCCAGGAGTTCGAGACCAGCCTGGGCAACATGGTGAAACCCTGTCCCTACAGAAAATAAAAAAATTAGCTGGGTGTGGTGGGACATGCCTGTAGTCCCACCTACTTGGGAGGTTGAGGTGGGAAGATTGCTTGAGGTGGGAAGATTGCTTGAGCTGGGAAGGTCAAGCCTGCAGTGAGCCGTGATCATGCCAGTGCACTCCAGCTTGGGCGACAGAACAAGACCCTCTCTCCAAAAAAAAAAGAAAGAAGTCCAGCCACAAGGATAACATATTTAAAAGGAAATAAATTCTTTTGACAATCTCCAAACAAATTCTGAACACAAATTTCAAAACCCGTTAGTTTCTCTAATGTTTAAAGCAAGAACAAAAGCACAGTACAGAGAATCCACAGGCAGAAGGAGTACCTTTAAAATACTAGCAAATCTTCACAGGCACCGAGGTCACACATGAGAGTTCAGAGAGCAATGATGTCTTGCCCCTAGCACATAAGTGCTGTCACTCACCACTTGGTTTTCCATGCGGGTGAAAATGACGTTGAGCATCTGAGTAAGGGTAGCCTTGGCAGTGGTTTGATTGATGAGATTTTTGCTGGCCAAATAGATATTGTAACATGTCCTCACCGTCTGCAGGATAGTACCCTCATGAATTTCAATGTGTGGGGAAGTCACTGCGGTCAGAAGAGCCTAAAACAGAAATCCGCGACCTTCACCATCAGGAACGCACATCACCTTCCTGCCCTCCTATGGCCACACTTTTCTACAGGGTCTGGTTTTGTTTTTCTTTTGTGTGTATGTGTGTGTTTTTTTTAATAAATTGTAAGATGGCTCTGCAAATTAAACTAGATGATTATTATCAAGAGCCAACTCCTATGGCTGTTAGTTGAAAAACAATGAACAGTTCTATGAAATCCAAATCACTGGAAACGAATAAATGGTGTTGAAGCAGACTTTCTACTGGCTCACTTTTTAAAAAGTCAAACTTCTAGCCAGGCAGGGTGGTTCACTTGAGGTCAGGAGTTCAAGACCAGCCTGGCCAACATGGTGAAACCCCATCTCTACTAAAAATATAAAAATAATCCAGGAGTGGTGGCACATGCCTGTAGTCCCAGCTACTCGGGAGGATGAGGAACAAGAACTGCTTGAACCTGTGAGGTGGAGTCTGCAGTGAGCCGAGATTGCACCACTGCACCCCGGCCTGGGCGACAGAGCAAGACTGCCTAAAAAAAAAAAAAAAAAAGCCAAACTTCTGAATTTTATTTAATACTGATTGAAAAACCTACAATGAATAATACGACAATTATCTCAGGACATATAACACTCCAAAGTGATCTCACCCAGATTAATCAGAAAATACATGTTTCGATGGTGGTCAGTTTCCCAATTCCCTGGTGGGTTTTCAAGAGAGCTTTAAGAAAGGTTTATCCAGCATGGAGCCCTCCCCTCATAATGCTAATACTTTCAGGACTTAAGATTTGGATCCTTGGCTACACCCGTCCTGATCCTTTTCTCAGACAAGCAGATGGTACTATCTGTGCCAAACCATTCTTGGCAGCAGAAATCGAACAGGGAAGTAGGACAGAGGCAAGTCAGAGATAAGAATATCAACAAAGACCCACTGAGAAATACAGACTGGGAATCCAGGGTTAACCAGAGGATTTCAAGACGATTTAGTTCACAAGCAATTTACATTGTTATTAGCTGAAAGGTTTACTTTGAAAACACACCTGGTTCCATTTTTCTTGTCTCAGTTCATGCTAATAAATTCTGACACCTAACAAAAGATCTAAGTGATGCTTAAATTTTTCTGTTCCACCTCAGCACCACCTGAGACAACACATGGTAAATTAGAAATCCAGATTCCCACAGGGACTTGCTTTCCAATTTAAAAACCAGACAGGCAAACAAATAGGTATACCTTAATTATTTGTAACTGAACCCCTTCATCGGTCTGAGGGCCCTGAAAACAATTGCAAATGGTTTCAACAATTCTGTCGATCAGCCGCTTCCCAGGGGCTCCACTGTCGGGGGCGTTGCCAGTGATGTGCCCATATGCGATGAGTTTCTAAATAGAGAGAAAGAACAGAGATTATAAATTTCTGCTTGGCCAGGACTGAGGCCTTCTGTGGCGGCCCACAACAGCAAAAGAGAGGCACTTCCAGTTCCTACAGAGTCCTCTGCTCCCCAGGAGCCAGGCAGGCATAACCACTCTGTGACCACAACCCTCGTCCTGTCACCTGACAGCAAAAGATGCCTGCAATGGAGACACAGTGTCCGATGAAAAATGCAAGGTATAGAGTGCTCCCCAGTATGCAACCATCTCTACAAACCTGAGGAATTAAAAGCTATACATACTCAAGACAGAGAGAAGATTAGTGGTTGTCCAGAGTTAGGGGGGTGGCGTAGGGAGACACAGGGAATGATTGTCAATGATAATATAAAAATGGTCTAAAGTTAGGTTGTGGTAATGGTTGCACAACTCTATCAATAAACTAAAAATCACGAAATTGTGTGTGTGTGTGTGTATATTTTTTTTTTTTTTTTTTTTTTTGAGACAGGGTCTCACTCTGTTACCTAGGCTAGAGTGAAGTGGTACGGCCATGGCTCACTGAAGCCTCCACCTCCCAGGCTCAAGCAATCCTCCTACCTCAGCCTCTTGAGTAGCTGGGACCACAGGCACATGCCACCAAGCTAGTCTAATTTTTCTTTATTCTTTGTAGAGACGGGGTCTCCCTATGTTGCTCAGATTGGTCCTGAACTCTTGGGCTCAAGCGATCCTCCTGCCTGTAATCTCAAAGTGTTGGGATTACAGATGTGAGCCACTGCGCCTGGCTTGAATTACACTTTAAATGGATGAATTGTATGCACGTTAATTTTATCTCAAAAAGCTGTTTTTTTTTATATATATATATGTGAATATGTATCTTCTTTCAATGGAAAGATACCTAAGAAACTAATAACATAATTGCTTGAGGGAGGAGAACTAAGTAGCTGTGAGCCGGGGTGGGACTAAGACACTCTGTAGTACATCTTTTCATTTTTTTCAATGTTGAATCGTGTCAGTGTATTTTCCAAAAATTAAAGTAAAAACCTCATCTGCATAAAAATAACTGCATTTCACACTTACATCAATAGTAGTGTGTTTCACCCACGAGCAGCTGCTTGGAACCTGCCCTCTCTGAGAGGTTACAGATCGGTCTGTGCCACCTCACCCACAACTGGGATGTCAGCATGGAGGACAGAGCTGGAAGGAACCTCAAAGGTCAGCAGGAGGATGATTTCTAAGCCTGGCTGAGAAACAAAATCACCTGAGGGAGCTCAATAAAAACACAGGTTCCTGGACTCCAGCCCAGACCTACTGAAGCAGAACTTCCAGGTGGAGCCCAGAGATCAGTGTTTTTCTCCAAGCTATCCAGGTTATATTGATGGTTGATTAGATAAAAGAATCACTCATCTGGCACGCATACATGTGAACTCTAAGGCATTCTCTGCCTCCAGTGACTTGGTGAAGACTCCTACAATTGCTGTTCTGTTCTTTCTCCTTTTGGCTTCTAGCTGGTCACATGCTTCTGCCCATACCAGGGGGACCCAGGGTCCTGAGGTTATCTATAGAGCAGCCACCACTGTGTGAGGAAGACTGGCCACTCTGCAGAGGTCCGACACTGTTTCTCAATGGCTTTTCCCCTTCCTTAGCTAGTGAAGTGTCACCACTCAATAAGCAGAAAGAAAAATGGATTGAGAGAGTGGCTGAGAGTAGAAATGCAATACTACTGGATGGAGCAACTGAAGGAGCAGGAGAGAGGCCTGCGCACACTCTGCTGCTCAAGTCCAACCCCCAAATCTCCAGGTGGAGGGTGTGTCGCCTGTGAAGGTCAAGTCCAGATGCCCTTTACCTCACCCCTCACATTGCTGCTGCTGGTGCAGGCTTCCTAGGAGGGCAGGGCTGTCTACCTGGAAAATGAGCTCTGGTTTTGACATTGCTTGTTCTTACATCTAACAGACTCAAGTCTGTTTTGTGCACTGGATTGCAAGTGGGGTGGTCTAGGAACTCCTCAAGTGTGAATGCTGAAAAGTGGGCTCCAATACTGATGCCACAAAGCAAGCTGGACATGGATTACTACTTTTGTACTTTAACTAAAGTATGAAAAGGACAGAAAGTATCCTCCCTTCTATAGACTTCTTAAGGGGCACATTACCCTTCAAATCAGAAAGAGTTTTAAGTATGACTTCCCCCCTCATCTGCGCAGGGAGATAAGGCCAGGAGAAAGAAGAGTTCCTGTATCCTGTGGATCTCTGGTTCTGCTTTCTCATCCTTCTCTGTGACAGACCCTGTTCTGGGCACTGGGGATACAGCAGTAAGACAAATGTAATTATTTTTCTCATAGAGTCTACATTCTCCAGGGAAGCACACCAAAGCTCAAAGTTCTAACTGGGACCTGTAGGGCCGTGTGTGACTTGTAGATACTGCCCCTATCTCCCACTGTCCCCCAGGTAGATGTCCCCACCTTGTTCCTTGCTAACGCCATGAGCGGTGGGAAGAGGGACACGGAGGGAGGCCTCTGGGCAGCTGGCCCACTGACACATGAATCAGGGCTTGCACAGGGACATTCTGCCATGGAGGGGAAGATGATGACAATATAATCCACTATAACAGGCCTTTATAGGACTCACTGCATGAAGGAAAATGCTATATGGTTGGTTTGTTGGTACAGAATAGGACATACTTAGTAATAAACAGAGGTTGCAGTAAGTAAGCTATATTACAAGTTATCCCACTCACATGAATGAATATATTTGGTACAAATTAAATCTTCTACCTCACTGGTCTCTTCTTTTTTTTTTTTGAGAC